ATCACATGTGATAAAAAAATTACTAAATTCCCAAAACTTCGAGGAATTATTCTTTTTCATAACGTGTTGTGAAAAGAGAAGAAAGGAGAATATAATAGAGAGAAGTCAATAGCCTTATGTGTATTTTATTAAGAACCAATGACCCGTATTTATTAGGCAGAATCAGGATACAACAGTAATAATTTTAAGGGTTTCACGGGTACAATTATTATTCACTTATAAACCCTAATAAACTTACATTTTACAACAATTAATATTTCTATTTAATAAAAATTATTATCACTACTACCATGTATATATTTTTAAATATTTACAGGCCCCATATTTAAAGTTAGCATAAGGCTCCTAAAATTTGAAGATCGCCCTTGGGGTTTGGTGTAGAACTGCATAGATAATATCATACTGAAATTTTTCAATGTGATCCATGTCTCTTCGAAAGTTACATGATCCGTGTCTCTTCAAACAATATAGAAGCATTTTTTCCACTTAAGAAACACGCTTATTCTTGTACAAAGTAGCCTTGTAAATAGTTAATTGTTCAACCTGGCATTACCAGGGTAATCATAGGCCCTGATAATATAGAATGGTTTCTCCACCAATAGCTCTTGGTAGTTGATTTTAGTTTTGACAAGCAATGTTTGCTAACATCACAAATTGAAAATTATAGTACTTGGGAAAGTGTTACAACTGAATACTGAGCATCAACTATGCATACTAGTTAATTCCGAGGACTAGTTGAAGTCAAGATCCTATTGATTCTTAGCGGAATCATTCAAGCGTATCAAAATTGGATCTAAGACTAAGAAAAATTCTTCCAAGCAAAGCAAAATTTTGCTTAAACATGACCTACTAATAATTTGTGTTCCAAGAAAAACTCTTCAAGAAATTGCAAAGAAATCCCACCATAACATAAAATAAATAAAAACTCCTTATCAATAAATAATGAAACATAAACATAAAATGTAACCTGGATCTATCTCGTAGAGCTAGCATACTGCAAAATTATTTAGTTTGAATGTGGACAATTGAGGGATGAGAATGAAAAGATGGAATGATTTTTCACATCTCTTCAGATCAAACAGATGAATATTTTCTACGAAAATAGGACTGCATCTATGCTTTTTCTTTACGAATATGTTATTTTTTGGGCATTTTTAACAATATAAATATCACGTCTTATTCCTACTTTGGCATGTTTCATTTTCAGGATTTTAGCCCCGATTAGGAAAGAATTAAAACTAATATTAAAATACAGTTGATTCAACTTTTATTCCATGTGAAGTTGCGTAGTTTTTCATATAGCATTCCTAGAAGAGGGTTATTTCATAGCTGATGTCTCATATCTTGAAGAGTAACGGCATAGATTGAATCTGCCGCAAATTATGTGGATCCAAATTTTGTAATGAAAATTAACATGAAAAGATTGGTTGTATAAGAGGGATTAAGTAATTAAGCATAAAGAGCAAGAAACCTATCCAGAATGGTCCTGTTCCGTCCATTTTGACACATTTATTGTTCAGAAAACTTGCTACGTTTGTGTTTGATTTTTGGGGGTTGTGGATCATTTATAACCGCAGCTAGAAAGAGTTGGTGGCTATACATACAGCACTTGGTGCTGTACATATTTACAGCCTTCTCACAAAATGTGGGGTCTGCAATTATTTTAATCGCGATCCTCACTCCTACATATCACTTCTCTTTTACTAGAGCGAGATGATTAGAATTTCTTTTCTACTTTATTTTTATTTTATTTAAGGTTTGGATTTGTTGGGTTAATTCTTAAATAAATTTTTTTTGACTATTGGACTTATGGAGCTTAACTACACCGTACACTTTTTACTTCAATGTAAGTATTGTGTCGTAGGCCCTTGGTTTAGGAAAATTAGCCCTCATGAATAATTTTTTTGAGCATTATAAGGATGACACTTTTAAAAGTTTGCATATGTATTAAATTGGCTTAAAAATTTCTCATGTAACCATATTCTTTCTGAGCTGAGGTAAAGCAGATAGATGTGAGGGAAAAAAACTGTAAAACCCTCAGCGGCATGAAGAGAAAGTAGGAGTGAACTACTCCAAAAATTGTGCACTTGTTTGCTTTCAATTTCCTCTATTTTGTATTGTTATTACTGCTCTTGATGATGCATAATTAATCATCCAATCCATTTGTTTTGGGTTCAAGAACATCGCCTCCCCTACCTTTGTTGATTGCTTTTAACAAATTTTCCAAATATGTTGGACAAATATCACGTGGATGCGAGTGGAGTCGAAATTTGTTGACTACATCAACTGTACGAAAATTGAGTGTGAATCAAACAAAAAGACGTGAACTACATAGTCTACAATAGTGTACGAGCATCGAAGGTAATAAGAAAAAAGTGAGGGCAATATTACTAAGAGAATGTAAAATTGCATTACTTTCAAATGGCACTAAGCGTGAATTTTTATAATAGAAGATGATGAATGATTACCAGGGCCGGCCCTGGCAGATTTTAAGGGGCCTCTAAAAAAGAAAGAAAGCCTAGAAACCCCTTAGCAAAAAACCTCACATGAAATATAGCCATGGATATTATCTTCTTCTGTAAATCCAATACACAAACAGTGGACTCGGTCTCAAAGTTCGAGATAAACAACGGAATATGAGGAGAGAAATTTTACTAGGTAAAGTCATTTATTGGTTAAACCCTCACTCTCAAATTATGAATTTCTTTGTTACTACTGGCATAAATTCATTTATATTTGTTCCAAAATTTGTGAGTTCATTGCATCAAGATTTTATAATTTGATATGCCATTAGCGATGGAGAGAAGCAATAATCATAATAGGGGCATTCCATTAATCTATTCGAACTACCATAATCAACAAAATTCAATTAAAATCCAACCCACTAAGAAAGAGAATGAATTTATTAATAGTTTTGCTAGTAGTACATCGGGGTGTACGTACACCCCACTCACATGAACAAGGGACCTACTTGAATAAAATATACTTTCTTTCACATGAATCCCACACTCACGTGAGTATGGTGTACACCATTCGGTACATTTTATTATGTACCACTAGACAAATAACTGTTGATTATCTTATTTATTAAAGAAATGAAGAAAGGAGTTTAACTCATTTCTTTGCAGATTTTGATTGTTTGTGAACTGTGATGGGACTAAAGATAAGGATAACGGACGGCATTTTGTACAAGAGCATATGCGGCTTTAGTGTTAATTTTTGAGAATTTCACTTTTGCTTTTTAAATTTTAATTAGCAATAAATTAATCCTCACATGTGCTTTGTTCTCCTGTAATTTTACCTGATGGTTTTAATATTGGAGCTTCAAGAACCCCCCTTAAGTGTTGTAATAGACTTTTTTTTTATCCTTTTAGTTATTTGCTCAAGGTGGACTTTTGCTTATCCTCTATAATTACATATTTGCAGGCCATTTGTTATTGCCGAATCCTTTCTTTTTGGAGAAGTTTGGAAGAAGTTGATTTTAGTAGTTTGATTACTAATTTTACATCTCAAAATGTAATAAATTAAGTTTAATTTTATGCTAGCCTAATCTCTAGGGTTGTGAGTAAAATTTTATTTCACTACTCTATCTTTGGAATAGTATAAAGTCTTCTTTTTAATATAAAAATGTTAATTATTTAAATACTAAATATTATTATGCTTGTAAAATAAAATATTATGTTGAAAGGCCTCATATTAATTAGTTGCCTGGGGCCTCTAAATTCTCGGGACTGGCCCTGATGATTACCATTAGATGAAAAAACACGTAACATAATCCTAATGGCTGAGGCATCTTCTGCTAGATGATTATATCTAATAGCAAAACCCTCCCAAAAGGAAGCCTTCTTCATCTTCTACGTAAGCTGTACAGAGATGAGTCAAACCAAATCAATTCAAGAACAATGAAATTTATAAGGTCTTCATGTCCACGTGCAGATAATTCACATTTCACAAATATATCTACTTCGCCAGTCTCAAGATACAAGATCCAGTACAAAGCTGAGGTTTTTCTCAAGCCATGGGTCACATAGTAAATTGGATACTACCATGCTTTCGGTCCAGTAGACTTCATTTTACACCCTACAGAGTACACACTATAGTCCTAATGCAAAAGATTTCCCTGTAACTATCGTGCTTTTGGTTATAATTTAAAGATAACTTGAACTTGATTTCCCTAACTTCAACATGAAATAGAATCTAATGCTAGTACTTCAACAACATATAGACTATAATATCTTTAAATTCAACTCAATCTTTTTGGTAAAGACTTGATAGGGTCATATAAAAACCCATTATTTTTCTTCGCATCGTTGGGGGAAAATACAATAATTCAGGGTTATTAAAATCCATGGTTGCGAATAATCACACAATTTTCATCTCCAAATAAATCATACAAAATATTTTATTTCATATGACTAGCAAGACATAATTCAAGGCTCTGCTTGATTCCTATTTTTTGAAAATACATTTTTCCATTATTCTTTTCCATCACACATTTTTCACTAAAATAATATTACACACAAACCAAAAAATTTTCCTTATTTTTTAACCACATTCTCCTATTTGAAAATGCTTTATTTATTATTATTATTATTATTATTATTATTATTATTATTATTATTATTATTATTATTATTATTATTATTATTATTATTTATTTTTATTTTTTATTATTTTTGGGGCAAAAGATGGGCATCAAATTGGCTCCAAATAATATCCCATCAAATCACTGTTTTAAAAAATATCGGGCATTCTAAAACATACATACAAAACAAACAAAATTGTGTATCATAGCACTTAACATGCACGCTTACGCCTGCATAAAAAATGTCGATAAAAACTTATTCTTCCAAAACAAAAAAAATTCTTCCTATTTATTAGGAACATTAATGTTTAAAAAAAGCACATAATATACTTTTTTCTAGCAAAAACTCTCAACACAAGAAAATATATAATCAAGAATGCTCTAACAATCAACAAAACTTTCAAGAGAGAACAAATGATAACAAATTAGTGAATTTTTTCGTCCATTCTTCATTTCTGGTAGAATCTTTCTATACAGAGCTTTACATACGGATTGCAGTGTTTAAATGTGCAAAATCCAAAGAAAAGTAAAACCAAATAACACTATGTCTCGAATATCAACATGTAAATTCAAATGTAACTACACGCACGTCATAAAGATAGGTCGTATCCCCATCTCTAAAACATTAACAAAGAGAACACACTTTTGCAATGCGCATAAGACGTTCTTGGCTAATTCCAGGTAATACAAAGATGGTTCAATTCATTCAAAGTGGCCATACAAGAATAAAATGATGATGAATGATGAACAAAAATATGGCCCTAATAAGATAGTAAACCAACAAGGATGAGGTTAAGACTTTACGTTTCTATGCATATCTTGCAGGTGCCCCAAGAGGTTAAGACTTGACATTTCTAAGCATTTCTTGCAGGTGCCCCATACTAAGCAATTAATCACCGATCAAGCTTTCTTTTTCCACATATTCACGCATGATTTAAAGCCAAGTGATTTTTTCTAACCAGCTTGGAGGTTTGCATCATCAAACCTTCAATTAAGAGAATGTAGGAGGCTTGACGTTTTGAGCAAAATCACGAAATTTTTACTAAACCAGTATACACTTAAATACCTGCGTGGTGACTACAGCTAGAAGCAAAGGTAAGGATTGGGATTGCAATTTCAATCATGAATTCCCTTTAAAAGCCCCTGTAGTCCGGTTCTCTTGTTCGAATGGGATTATAGGAAATACTTTGACCCCATCCTTCTGTAATAGGTTGCTAACTTCCACCCCTGCCTTCACGCTCCCAACCCCAACTTCCTGTGATCGGTCGCTGAGTTCTGCCACAGCCTTCGGCACGCACCTCACCCCAATCTCCTGCAATGGGTTGCTGAGTACCTCCGCAGCCTTCGGCATGCACCCAATTCTGACCTCCTGCAATTGGTTGCCTAATTCCTCCCCAGCCTTCAGTATGCACCCGATCCCGACTTTCTACAACAGGTTCCTGAGTTCTTCCCCAGCCTTCAGCATGGACCCCACCCCAACCTCCTGCAATGGGTTCTATAGTTCCACCCCAACATCGTGCAAAGGGTTCTTGAGTTCCACCCCAGCCTTTGGAATGGACCCCACCCTGAAGCCCTGCAACAGAGTGTCGAGTTCCACCCCAACCTCTCATAAGTTGCTGCCCATTTCCGGGATCAGAAGGCATAGCATATTTTGTACCTTCCCAACCATCATCAGGCATCTCTCTCCAACCTTCCGTAGACTGAATCTTTTTCGTCCAGCCAGTTTCAAATGGCATAGCTCGCTCGACTTGTCGCCAACTCCCTGAAGGCATTCCTGCCCAACCGTGCATGGAGGCTATTCTCTTCGTAGGGATAGGATCTAGAGGCAGAGCTTGCTTTCTTGCTTCCTCACCTTCCCCATTTCTGTTTCTTTTTCTCTGGTTCGATTGAGAGGGAATGCTACGCAATGATGCAATTTGGTGAGAATTTGAAGTACCTGTTCGACATAAGGTAGTGATGCCATCATGCCCAAACAAAAATTCCTTCAATTGAACTTCTCCAATCTGGCCATCCATGAATGACAGGACATACCGGGTAGAAAGGTTAATACATTCATAGATCTGTTTTATTTGTGCCTGTCCTACTGCCCTAGCAACATTCTGAGATGGATCACTGAAATCCTCAACCTGTGAAGATTAAAAATTACTATATATTTAAAAATCTTCCAAGAGCATAAAAACTCAAGCAACAAAGTGTAATTACACTGATACAAGCAACTTTAGAATTCCATGTTTTCGACATCCAAGATCCTTCGTATGTGCTTGCACAGAGACCTTTGGGCCACAGATTTTCGACAGAAGATAACTGCAAAGGTAATAGAATAAAGGTCAATTTCAGTTAAGAAACAAGCACCACCAAAATAAATAACTTAATTATCACCGAGGGTGTAAGCACCACCTTGATTAGCAGAGTCACAAAGAGCTCAGCTAATGATTCTTTATTACTTTTTCCATAGTCTACAAAATTAGATAGTGACTTCTTCACTATTGCAGGATCAGCACCATCTACATACAGCACATAAAGCCAGTTAACATCACAAAGATGACCAAGAAAAAAGAGCTCGCAAACAGTAGATCTGCAACATTCTTTGAGTCAACAAAAGTCAAAGACCGAGAAGCAAAGTGAACAGTGTATCCTTTATCAGCAACTACTACAAATTATATTGAATTACTAAAGAGGCGCTGCAGCAGATTTAGGGAGCAGTGTTCTAGATTCCAGGCTATCGAAGAGAGTTAGAACCTTTTTTCTGTGACACGTATGATGAAAAAGAAATGGGACAGAAGTCCTTGCACATAGTAGTACCAAAGCTCTAACGACCCAAATTTCCTTGAAAACTCACTTGAAAGAATACGTCACTACGTTAGTCATGCCTTATGTAAAAGAAGGAAAAAAAAGTTCTACTGCAGCCCTTCCTTAAACACACAACCACTACAACGAAAACTTAAGTCTTATTCCAAATGTATTTGGAGTAAACTACATAAATCCTCTTTTGTCATTCCATCTGGTTTGTTGCTAGAATGATAGAACTACTAAAAGATCAAAAGTAAATAGATACTTAGCAACCACAATAAACTATTTCCTCCCCTTCTAATCAATTCTACTATGTATACATCAATCTTATGAACAGGATCCTCTTTAATTTTACGCAAAGATGTGTTCCAACCATTTAAGTCATCTCTTTGTTAATTGATCCTCTGCGGTGTGACATCCATTTGTTGCCATATATTCTCGTTTCTTATTTTATCAATTACAATATGACCACATCCATCTTATATCCTCATTTTCACTATACTCATCTTATAGACATTTTGTAATTTAACAATGTGAACTGAGTACCATAAAGCATTTAAAGTTTAATACCATTCTGTAAAATACATAGATCTTCCTATTCTGCACATAGCTCTTTTAATGAGTTTATTATATAAAGATGCCATCAATTTTTGAACAATTTTTTCCAAACAAAAATTGATGGACAATAATTCGTGTTATTATCTGAGATTCCCAGGATGTCTTAACAGCCAATTAAATTGTGACACATATTTGATATCATGAGAAATGCCTCAAACATGACTTCTAACACTCTTTAGTTCTGTCCATATTGAAAATTCACTCTAAACAACATAGATATATAGCTAATATGTGATGAAACTAAGAAATTAAACATGACTTGTCAAATGAGATAAACAATTACAACCCAAGCTCACAAAACTATTGCAATTGAAAGTAAAAGTTGAAAATGTTATTGAGCACAAAATGATGCAAGAAATGTAGTCAAAATCAATTAAACAAAAAACACACGGAATTACCTTTGACTATAGCAGAAAATGGAGGTAATATAGGTGGCTTCCGAGTCTGTTAGAAACAAAAGATGGGAGAGACGTCAAATTGAAGTGTATTGACAGGTAGAATGTTAGCACATAATGGAACACACCCAATCTAATGTTGGTACACGTTCACCACAAACCAGACAACCAATATATGATTTGTTTATGTGGCATGTGGATACTCGTCTTAATAGAGACATAGTTACAAGTTCAAATAATGAGACTACAAATCATGAACAACAAATAATGAAAGATTGAATACCATTCATTGCCCAATTAAACATAAAAAGATAGTATATTGCATATTAAACCTAAATCAAACGAAAGATGTATAAAATCTAACTCTAAACATAACGTGCAAGGTCCAGACAAGTTTTCAGGCGAGATGACAAATTCATTTTCTTTTTAATTTAACAAGTATTTACTTTCTGTCACACCTCAATCCAACAAGAAAAAATGTTTCAAGGTTCATCTAAGCTTATTAAGTTGCATTTAAACAATTTTGCTACATGGCAGTAGCAAATAATGAAATATATCCAGAAATGAATGTTGGTACAAATTCAGAACAAATCAGCATTGTTAAAAAGACATGCCATATTTGTCTGCAATGTACAACACACCGTAGATGTGATCAGAAAATTATGTACCCCAACTAATGGAAGATTAAATATCATTTACGACCCAGTAAAATATATATAAGATTACTCCAGCCATATATTGAGTATAAATCAAAACAAATAGTGAACAAATGTAGAATTTAACTACAGAAAAATCATGCAAAGTTCAGAGAAGTTTCACCACACGTCAAATTTATACCTCTTTACTTTTTTAAGATGCATTTACCACCCCTACCCCGATCCAACACCAAAGATACATTTCAAGGTTCATCTATGCTTCTTGAGATGCATTCAAGAAAAATTGCAACATAATCTATCAATAAAAAACATACCACTTAGAGATAAACAAAATTTTATACTGGAGCACAAATAATTGTAGAAATTGTTAATATAGAAGGAATGGATAAAAATTACGAATGTCCAAAACTGTACCTGCAAATGAAAAGCAACCAACAGTATTATGGAGAGAGAATTCAAGGTTTTGTCTTTTGAACTGTTAATGTTCTGCACTTTTGCCCAGGTTTTCATCTGCTGACATGAACAGTACCAATTAGATAACATAGCATTGATCATTATATTTCAAGAAAAATAAAACACCACCAGATTCTTAAGCATAGCCATCTAGTAGACATCTGAGGAAAACATGTATGATCATCTTTAGAAGCATCTGAAAAATCAAATTCTAACCAAACATCAGAAGGAAAAATGGCAAGCAGTATTCTGAATGGATTGGATTGGGAAGCTTCAAGTGTTTTAATGCCTGTTAGTTATGTTTCCACAAATAACATTTTGCAGAGATCTATCACGTTAGCAGTTGTTTGGTGTGTCAGTCAGGATGTTCCAGAGACACTCCCAATATTTTAGTATGGTCTGGTGTTCAGGCTCCATTTAACAATTAAGCTCCATCTCCAGAGCATTTTCTGGAATCTCTTAGAAAGACTTATAATGTAATTACACATCTATTAGACATACCTGATCTTACTTTAGTCTTCTTACGATATCGGAAGTCTATTACTCCAATAAAGTGATACTTTCATCCAGGGCTAAGAGAATTATTTGACCAAAAACTATTTGCTTGACTTCCATCAGAGTTATATTTAAGTTTCCGGTCTCAAATCCTCCGTGACCTTATTTACTGTTCATGCAACCAAATTCTTTAACTCAAAACCAATTAATAAATAACGGTTCAACATTTTGCCTTGAGGGACAGTGTAAGGGAAGTGATTTGTGAAAAGAAAATTGGAAAAGAAGTGTCTGCATGCCGTAAAGAAGGAGTTCCAAGGATTTCATGTCAGATTTTGCAAGGTGAAGGGACCATAAACAATATATGATCTAGTAAACCACGGAATCCGTAAAAATATGGAAATCTTAAAGACACAGGAAACATTATTTAAATAAACCCCAGAATAGATGAGATGGCTAAGATATTACTTTACAACAGTTAGGTCTTAAGCTTGAATCAAATCCCTTGTGAAATACCTAGAGATGCTTACCTGAGCTTGTCATGCTCGCATATCTTGTTATGTGATCCAATGCACAGTTTTAAAATGTGCCCAAGACTTAAACCTTGAGACTCGTGCCTTTGTTAATTGCTTCAAAACATGCACCATACTAAGGGAGGCATGGCTCAAGGCATAAGTCTCAAGGCAATTGAGGTGAGCAGTCCTTCCTCTAGTTCCCATAGCAGAGCATTTAAATGATTTTCCCCCTTGAGAATCACACTCTAAGAGATCCGCAGAGAACCAATTTCAATTTGTATGATGGTGCACAGTCCTATTTATGGATGCTAAAACCCCGCAAAGAAAACCCTATGATATCCTAAAATATGGCCTAGTTGTTAAAGTAACCATATCGATTCTAAACTGCATGTTCACAGTGACTTTATAAAGTGATAAAATGCTTAACTGAAACCCAAAAGATCTACTTTAGTATAGTAAATTACTACCAATTTACTAACTCTACAATTAGAAACTACACTGGTCACAGAGTTTTAACTCCTGAAGGTACCCAACAAGGAGAAACAAGAAAATTCCAATAAAAACACTAATATCAAACTTAATAATTATTTTCCAAAGCTAGTCCTGGATCATCGAAATCCATTTTTTCTCTTCATCCTAACTCCAAGAAACATTTATAAGTAATTGAGCTTTCTAGAAGTCAACTACTGAATACTGCTATATCCCAAGGACACAATTGGCTCTCTCAGTTTTCCAACTTCTTGACCCATGTATACTCCAGATTTGGAGGCTCACTTTCTATCATATCAGCTGAGAGCCTTAGCATTGTACAAGGACATGCACATTACCTTTGGGTGGATTTGCCCACAACTATAGGCAAGTCTTATAGATTATGTAAGAATAATGAGAGGAATACCAACAGACCATCTAAAAGCTTATAAAACAAATGGAAAAGCTATTCAATAATGTGCACTGCAACTATGCCTGTAAGAGCATTCTATTGGGAATATAAATATTAAAGTTAATCGAATGATCATGCTTCAAATTAAACAAAATATAAAAGCACCAGCATACACTTCTATTTCGGATTGAGAAGGATGAGATGGAATCTTGACAAATGAAGCTGAAGGTTGAACGATGAAATATAGATGTATAAAAGAATGAAGAAATCGAACTTTACCAAGAAGCTTAGCTTTTTAAACCTTTCATCAATTGAGGAAATTAGGTGGATAATCTGGGATTTTAAGATTCCATCCCTATTCTCAACTGATATATCACATTCAACTCCTGTTCCTTGATCAACAACTTTCAGAATAGGCACCTTGGCAGTTGTGATTGGAAGAACACCAGAAACATGCCCTTTACCTGGAGAACACGAATACAATTATAAGATGCATACAAGTACCATTTCTTATTTTTGATCAAGAATAGAAGGAGAATGAAGAAGGTAGAAACAAAAAGTCTTCATTAGTAATTGCAACTACTGTTATAATTCTAGTGAAAGCCATCTACCAATCCATGGAACTTAACCAAATAGAACAAAAGTTACTGCTTGAAAGAGCTCCTTCTCAACACTACTCAGTTTCCATCATATCTTTTGATAGGAAAAGATTACAAAAATCGGAGAACTAAAATAGTAAGAGAGAAGGAGAGGATCAGTAAAAATAAACATAGAAGTTTGATGAAGAAGAATTCAACAAATCAGGAGCTATTTTGTAAATGAACCCATAGAATTCTGAACAGCCAAGTAAAGCACCATTTCTCACAAAATGCGTAAGAAGAGCTTCACCTGAAATAATAGCAAGCATAGCCACTCAAATATTGTTACAGATCCCCAATTATCTTCTTATCTTGTAATTACTAAATTTCTAAATTTATTCTTTCATCTTAGGTTTATTGTTAAGCCCAGAAATAATAAGAAAGAAAAGATAATATCTCAAATGATCTTTGCTTCTGTTACATATTACCCGGTATATGCCTATGAAACCTAGAACATAAGTTCTTGACTTACAAAATAGAACTTGGTAGGAGCCAAAAAATATAAGTATATTATCATTGCATCCGGGAGCTAAAAGTAAAACAAAAATTCTATCAGAATTATAATGGTCTAAATAATATACACAGAAAAGCTCCTCGTTTTTTCCAGTTAGTCAATTAGATTTCTTACATCCTTCAAACCCTATTTAAAATTCATTGTCTTCAGATGATAACATAACGCTGTTGTTTTCCAACCATGACCTTCAACTTTTTTCCCTTGTAAATTTGTCATAGGATACAGGTCATGAATATTATGGATCTCGCTTTCACTATACTCTTTTTTTCCCCAATTGCTCTTTCAACGGCTTTTTAACTAAAAATGCCACCTAACTATTAGAAATGGCCAACTACACATACATTTGCCTAGAAGAGAAATATACCTCTGATTTCTGAAGCAAGCCTAAATTACCTTCAAAATTTGCAGTTTAAGAAATGAAAAAGTTCAATATAATCATAAAAATAATAAAATATGAATCAAAACAAACCAGGAAAAATACAATCAAAATTTTACTTTGTAGAGCATATAGTTTCTTTGCAAACTTCCTCAGAGTTTGAATCTTCTTTTCGTGCGGAAATTCAATTGCATTAGATCTAAAATTCACAGAGAGATCTAAATCACTTGTTGTGCTAAAGAGATCCATTAAGAAAGAACCAAATTCCACCACAACGGGAGTCACTTTTGAATATCCTGAAAAGAAAAGGATCAAACAACCACCATGATAAGAATGTATTCCATAAGAGAGGCAGATTTATCTGGTTGATGAAATAATCATCTAAATAAAATAAAATGCAAAGCATTATGAATAAAGATCCACGATTATTAGAAACAAGAAGCAAATATAACAAAGGGAATTCCTTTCTAATGTTGACGTAGTGTAAATAAATTCAGCATGAAGTATTACCATATAACTCCGTTGCAATTTCATTAAATACTAGAATTAAGTCCCTTCGAGATTCATAATCACTCAGTTTTGGGCGCCGAATGGCATAAACATCTTGAAGAAGTTGCTCAAGAGCAGATACACGTTCCTTTGTTACTGCAGGACCCTGTGATTTCTTCAACTCAAACTTCTCTGCTTTCTTTTGCAAAACTAAAGACATAGCACAAAAAGAGTAAGATCTCTTGCAACTATGATATGCAAAACATCAATACCTGTCGCTTAGCACTTAGCTAGATAAAAAAGCAATTGTGTAAAAGCATTAACCCTTTGTGATATCTGTAAACTCGTAAATTTTGTTGAGAACAGAAGAAATTTCAACTTTTGGGTATGTTTTTACATCTATTAGCTCCAATAAAAAAGCTGAATTTGCAAGGTATAATTTCCTCAAGTTGCCAAGACGTATCCTAGCAGAAGTGCCCACAAATTCGAAATACCGCACAGTCATTTACATATGGAGATATATGTTGAACTAAAAGGTATTATTGTGACTTTTTCCCTCGTTAGCACAAGTTTTGCCTCCAATTAATGAATCATGATTACAACCTATCTACATATTATTTTAAGATTAACAACAAGGTTTATTTACTGCTTCGGGAGGATCACCAACTAGCTAGCCAAAAAATTTGAAATGGAAGATCCTTTACTCAAATTGACACAGAGATAGGAGCCAATGCACGACCAATTGTCAGTATAACTATAGATGCCCATGACAAAGTCAACGTAATTTGATCTTCTAATTTTTTGTTATGCTTATCCGTTAAAGTATCATTGAAAATTATTTTTGTTTCCAGTATGACCAAAAACATTTCCTCTTATGTTTTACTTTCTTTGCTTTAGATTTCAAGCTTGTCAACAGACAACAAGATCATAATAATCATTCTTAGTATTCAATGATCAAATTTTCTTATTGCAAGCTTATACTTATTGACAACAAAGTTATTATCAACAAACTCCTCTACCTAACCAGAATTTTTTTTCCCTGCTAAACTCACAGTGTTTGATGCTCAACAAGGAGGGAAAATGACTATTGAGGAGGAAGATATTTTAGTTTGCATGCATTTATCCTTCTCGGCGAGACTATTTATAGATTTCCCAGAGGGTCTTGAGGGCAATTGGGTCCTTTCATTAGATTCATTCCTGTCATTTAAAATTGGGTTTCTAACTAATTATGTCAGGTACTCACATTTTATTCACCAGCTAACATGTCCTCTATCGATTGGCCTTGAAGTCGTACCTTAAACACTTAACCACTCGTATTTTAATACCAGGCTGGTGAGTTTCTTACAACGTGGAATTTTATGGAAACAGTTTGCCTTTCTTTTTGGTGAGCTTTTATGCTTAAACTTTTACTAGCTCCACATCTTCAGGTTTCATATAGAAAAGTTATGAGCTCGCTTGTTCCTCTGAATTTTCTTATTCAACAATACTTATAAACAGGAACGTTTCAAGAATTTCCCCCTTAAAATAAGTGAACCTTTTTCAACATTTTTACATATACCTAAAGTATCCTAATCCCCCTATTTATACAGAACAATAAACAGATATCCAAGACAAGCGAAATATCGAAAGCTACATAAAATTGAAAGCCCAATTCCCATTCTGAAAAAACTCAAAAAAGCATTGTTGTAGGCATTCTTTGACTTTGAGAAACCATTATTATGAGAGAAAATTCAAAATTCACAATTTCATCAAAATAATAATAATAATAATAATAATAATAATAATAATAATAATAATAATAAATAAATAAATAAATAAATTGAACATTAAAATTACTGATTTAAACCGAAAAACTGATCGCATCGTTTCCAAACAATGGGTTGCCAATTAAATTCAGCACATAAATATCAAAATTTAGGCAAATAAGAAAAAATCTCGCCTTATGTTTCTGCATGTTTATAAACAGAGTAAGGCCACATAAAAATACCCTAAGTTACCATATATTGTTACAAACCCCGACAAAATTCACCTTTTGCAGGCAACGCCATATCTCCAGGAAATCTGCAACTTCACTGCCCAAATTAATTTAACCAATGAAAATTACAATCCAATAACTTCAGCAGAGATCCATTCTTGTTTTCTCTTCGTGGGGTTTTCTGGAGAGTGGAGAAGAAGACGAAGGGTCCAACGTCCCCTTTGATTTGATTTCAGCAACCAGTTGTAAAACGGAATACCTCAGCCCGTTATTGAATTGACCTCGTGAGAATTATATATTGAAAGTACAAGTCTTACGTTTTAAACGCTAGTCGGATTTGGACCGCTTCTTTTATTCTTTTTCTTCATTTTTTCCCTCCTATTTGAATAAATTGATGGAGATTGTAGTCCTCTTAATAAAGTTGATGTTTTAATATAAAATTTCAAATCTTAACATAGTATTAAACTCCAACGAGAACGATTCGATTTGATTAAAACTCAAGAAATGATACGAGATATATTAAGGAATATAATCTCACATCGAATAAAAATGAAAATGTGGACAAATTTATAAAGATTTGAACTAGTCCTCTTGATAAGGTTGATTTTTTCAGATGGAACCCCAAATCTTCACAGAAAGCAAAAATCTAGAGTTCAAATAAATAGGATACTTTCGTGGGAAAAAAAATATTTGTAGATTTTGAAAGCAACCAATAAGATGTATTCTGTGCTTATTGTATATTAGCTTCATACTCCTTTTTTTTTTTTTTTTTTTTTTGCAATATTTCTGTTTTCAGGGTAAAGTCATTTCCTTCGAACGTTTTATTAATTCCAAGTCTACCAATTTTTAGCTAATGATTTCATTATAATTCAAGTCTTGTAATGAACCGAGAAGTGTTTCTAAAGAAACGCAATTTGAATGATTTACGAAAGTTAAAATTACGATAAATGCAAAACTAATACAGATGTTGGCGTGAATCTCAAGGGGAATGGGCCTAATTAAGAGGGTCCGTAATTTTTGTCGTCGTAGTTCCATCTGTTTTTATGAAGACAAATCACCATTTATTTATTTATTTTGGTTTGGTTTGTTCACTTATCCTTAAGTCTTTGAGAAAAAAACTCTAATAAAAAAAAGGTGCTAAGAGGAGTTAATTTAAAAAAAAAAAAAAACTTTATTTACGATGGGAGAAGTAAAATGAAAAATATTGGCAATTTGCAATATTGCTACTTTTACATGAGCATATGTTACAATTTCATATGCTTTAGAATTTTAATTTCGTAAAACTAGAACATGATATGTAAAAATGTATCTTCATTTATTATAAGAATAAGCGTAACATCGAATAAAAGGGCGATTTAAATTGAGTAGGATCGGGAAAAGAAAAGATAGTTCTTTCTATTATATTATGTTAGATTTAGTTAATGATTTTCGACTTATGAGTCTTTTCTTCCGGGATGAACTGTTGGCACCAGTCCAACTAGTTTATGTACCTCCCGTGCTATAATATTTTCAAATTTATATTCTATTATGGTACTATCAAGAGGATTAGTTGGCTAATTAGATTTTTAATTGCGAGGGACCAGGGAAAATCTTTTCTATTATATTAAATTAGTATTAGCTAGTGATTTTAGTAAAACAAATCATCCTTTTCTTTTTTTCTTTTTTGGTGATAAATTGTTTACACATCTCCAAGTAGTTTGTGTACCTCTCGTGCTACAACATTTGAACATTTAGATGTCATTACCAGCCGCCAAGAGGGACAAGCTACCAAAGGGATCTGTCATGTCAAAATAAGTTATTTTAGTCCTTATAAAAATATCGTATTCATTTTGTATCATTTTGTTGGCATGGCTTTGTGGCAAAGCAAGGAATTGTGAATCCTTTATTCCCAATTCAAATTCAGGTGTTGCTAGATCAACTAAAATAAATCAGAAGAGATATGTCGAATAAATTTTTCCCCTTCCTTATTTAGGAAACATTTATTTGGAAAATTTGAAGAAAATTTAAAATTATAATGTCAAAAGATTGTAATTTACATATTTTATAAAGTGAATTAATTTAAAAATATTGAAATATGCCAATAGATAGAGATAATATTTGAACAGTAATATTCAAAAAAAATATTGGAACTTTAATGTTACATATAGAGAAAAATATTTTATATTATTCTTCCAACCAAAAAAAAAAAAAAAAAAAAAAAAGCCTTCCTGTTCTATTTGGGACATTAACATTTCAAACAAGCGCATTCGGTACTTTTTTTGTAGAAAATACGCTAACATAAGAAATTTAATGTAAGGAATATCAACATGTAAATCTAACGCAATGTACAGAATACCAACATCTTTAATTACGCGCACCTCATAAAGATAGATAGTATCCCCATCTCGAAAACATTAACACAAAGCAAACAATTTTGCAACATGCTCGAATGAATTCTTCTTAGCTAATTCCGAGTGACACAAAAGATGGTTCAGTTCATTCAAAGTAAGCATACACAAGAACATTAGATGATGATGAATGATAAACAACAAAAATATGGACCTAATACAATGGCAGAGCAAGCACCCAGAGCAAAAGGCGCCACCAAACTAGACACCAATAGCTGTGAAGTGAAGACAGGAACTAAGGGCGAAGATGAGTTTAGTTTGACCAACTTTTTTTTTAAATGACAAAATTGTGGACTTTTGTTTAGTTGGGCCTTCTTAGTTAAAAAAAATAAATAAATAAATAAATAAAATTGTAATAGGCACATTGATTACAAAATGAATTCAATTTTGCACTGGAAACAATATTGCTCCAACGTATACGACATTTACAGAAAACACAAAAAGTAACCGAATTTACCACAACCACCAACGCACGTGGCACGCTACTGCCAACTTGACACTTGTAATCTGCTGCCATCGACGCTGTTTCTTCGCCACTGCCTGTCGCTGCTGATTGTGATTGTGCGCCTCTCTTCTTCTTCTTCTTCTTCTTTTTTTTTTTTAAGTTCATTTTGATGCCATTTAAGTTTAGAACTTGAAATCTTGAAGTTGAAGTGATATTCTATATGTATTGATAATTTGATTGGAGATTCATTATGTAAATTGTGATGATTTATGATTTATGAAAATTGGGGAATTTGTGATATCTTTGATAAATGATAAATTGGAGAATTTATGATATGTGATAAGTGATAAATTGGTGTTTGAAATTGGAAAATGAAACTTGATGATACTTTTAAAATTAAGTTTAATTTACATTTAATATGTGATATACGTATAATTTTCATAAAGATTATGGAACAATTTTTTCAATCGAAAGAATTGTTAATATTATTTAATTAATATTAATAAATGACCTCGTTATTGCGGCTGTTGATTGTCAACAATTAATAGTCGCCCTGACTCACCAAACATTCCTGGATTCGTCACTAACACCTAATTAAGATAGTAAACCAACAAAGACGAGGTTAAGACCTTACATTTCTACACATATCTTGCAGGTGCCTAGGTATTTAATCTCTTGTCAAACTTTCTTTTACCACATATTCAAGCAAGATTTGAAGCCAAGTAATTTTTTCTAACAGACTCATGAAAACCCAGAGGTTTCCACTATCAAACTTTCTATAAAGAAGATTACAAGGCCTGCCCTTGCTTCTTTAGACCATCTCCAATCCTACACCGAAATTTGCACTATTTTGCACCAAAATTTACACCAAATCTAATTATGTATCATTTACGAAAACATTAAATTATTTAATAAATTTTTAAAAATGTAGTACAATTAATAAAAATACCACAGTTAAGAAAATATTAAATCATCCTATTAAAAACAACTTAGTACTTTTCGAATCTCGAAATTAGGATATGACAAAGTCGACCTCGTGTCGTAATTTAATTATTGGAATTCATATATTCATCGCACAAATGTTCAATTAATGTAGTTTCGTTTTAATTTTAAATAATCATGTTTGTTGCATTTTAAAACAGTTTGAGTACTTTTATTTGTATTCATTCCTCGATTATTATTAATTATACGATTAAAGTCTATTACAAATAATAATGATAATAATAATAATAATAATAATAATAATAATAATAATAATAATAATA